CAGCCAATTTCCGAAACATTTCTCAGGTTCTTGACAAGAATTAGCGCTTGTCAGTTGACTCCAACACGATCATTGGTGTGGACAATATGGCTGCCAGTCATTTTAAATGCATGCTGGGAGGACTGCCATCTAAGCTGACAGAACCAGCCTCAACACATGTAGAGCTCTTCAACAACACTGTACCCTATTGTACACAAGTATAATCTGGTATTGTCTGATTTTCAATTCAGATAACACTACCAATAGTTATATGTTGGCTAGTATTGTTAATGGTGTCATATCATCTCTTCTAACACAACCAATGTAGGTAGAACACAGCTGACCATACCGTAGTACATGAAACGAGGAAATCTGAAATGCTACCCATTGCAATATTTTTCACCTTTTGTTGTCATAATGTCATTTCAATTGTGATGTCACTTGGTGCAAAATATCTTTTTTTGTACATGAGACAAATCTCACATGCTGCCAAGTGTTAGACTTTTCTATCTTTTTCTGTCTATCCAGTACCTCTACCCAATATTTTGCACCAGCAAGGTTGGATTTTGGCTATGAAAGATTGTTATCAATAATTCCATAGAAGTACTAGAGAGCTCTTTCACAAAGTTCTTCTTGGTCTGTTGTTAAGCTCGTCTGTCTTTTGGACTGATCAATAAAAAAAGGCTGACAGGCAACGACCATTGACTGGCAATTGAAGATTATTATCGCTATTTCTTAAGTGGAATTTTCAAACTTCATATGATTATAAGCACAAAGACAAGAATGAAGAAAGGCAGAAAAGATCCAACTTTTAAAAAGTAAAGAAAGAGTAAAGGATGTTGGTCCCCAAGATCCGTCTGAGATCTCATCAAACATTGATGATATAATATACATGTTTTATAAACTTTTTGAAGACCTGTTTTCGTATTTTGGAATGTCTAGATCTGTTATTTATGATTTACAATGCAACATACTTGCAATGTCTATATGCACAGCACTTCTGAATCGTTGTTTGTGTTATAGGCCGAATACTTGATCTGCCAGAAGTTTAGGTATACATCTTTTGGATTTTAGGCTCCTCAGTGTGAGGCATTAATGTACTCCCTAAAAAGATTTTTCTGTCTCTCACAAATCATATAAAATTGTGTACATCAGAAATTCTATTCTATAACTCTCATATTTCTGTCCATTTTAGACAGATCATAAGTCTACGAACACTTATTGATAATTACACAATGAAGCCTAATGTAAAGTCATATGTTTTTGTGGGGCTCAATTTTGTGAGTTTTTTTTTTTTATTTTTTTTAAATGTTTCACAGACACTTGATTTGATGCATAAATAAATCTGAATATGTCCACAGATTTAGAGTACCCACAAAATCAATGAAAGTAAACCAGCCATTAAAATCAATGATAGGCCATTAAATTATTCATTAATTTACCCATCAGTATTTTAAAAATTTTTTTTGAAATTGTAACACAATATCAGTTGACTAGAATCATAACAAAATCACACAAACGTTGGGTCTCGTGTTTTGTGTGTTTGATTTATTTGAGGATGACATCTTGTGACAGCTCACTGACATTCAGGAGATGTTTTCTGCAGATATTTACCATATCGACTCTAAACATATGTCTTTATTGTAGACAATCAACTTTCTTGCTTACAAAAATACCAAAAGCATTTGTCTAGTGTACAGCTGAATGCCTCTAATCCATCCATGGTGGCGTGATGCACTGAATTTAGACTCTTGATATAAAAAAGGAAGTGTCTGGAAATACAGACAGAAGGCCTAGATATAAGTGTTATGACAACGGCTGGACACACAAGGTGTCGACCAGGGAGCATTACAGCACTTGAGGAAGAACCATAAGTCTGAAGCTAATTATATTCTGAATGTTAAACCCCTCATTAAATGCCTGACTTTAATGTGTGCTTGTCTTCCATTGACTGAATAAAGCTATTAAAGGATGTGTTAACACTAAGGTTTTACTAGACTTGTGCTATTTTTGCAGTTGTGTACCTCTCTTTGTTGGCAGTAAATACTCATAACCACATTTTGAATGCTTGGACAATTTTTCAATGGTCAGTCTTGTAATGCTGTATAACCAGAAGCTTTTTCCACTTGCTTGTCCATGGTCCCTTAATTGAACATTCTGTCTGGAGGACTGCAACTGTATACAAAAGTTTCCAGTCTCAAGTCTTATCTTTGGTAAATGTTACAATTATTAGGAAGTGTTTGTTACATACTGACACTCAGGAGTATTATCATGTGATCATTCACATTATTTATTCAGTGAGTGTTCTACATTGCCACTCTATCAAACAAATGGATACACATGTCATTGATGACCTTTGTGCATTATCTTTAAACTTTTTGCATTGTCCAGATAGTATTTTACTCTAAATCTCTGAATCATCTTATTTTTACAATGTTTCCAAACCACAGCTCTATGCAACTTTGATAAGCACGACTTTGACCTTTGTGACTAGTCTAGAGAGTGTTCCAGACCATGGTCTATTCACCCAATAGTGATTAACATGACTCTGACCTTTGTGACAAGTCTAGAGAGTGTTCCAGACTATAGCCAACCCACCCAATAGTGATTAACCTGACTTTGACCTTTGTGACAAGTCCAGAGAGTGTTCTATACCATAGCCAATCCACCCAATAGTGATTAACCTGACTTTGACCTTTGTGACTAGTCTAGAGAGTGTTCTATACCATAGCCAATCCACCCAATAGTGATTAACCTGACTTTGACCTTTGTGACTAGTTTAGAGAGTGTTCTATACCATAGCCAATCCACCCAATAGTGATTAACCTGACTTTGACCTTTGTGACTAGTCTAATGAGTGTTCTATACCATAGCCAATCCACCCAATAGTGATTAACCTGACTTTGACCTTTGTGACTAGTCTAATGAGGTGTGATTAACATGACTACCATAGCCAAGTCCACCCAATAGTGATTAACCTGACTTTGACCTTTGTGACTAGTAGAGAGTGTTCTATACCATAGCCAATCCACCCAATAGTGATTAACCTGACTTTGACCTTTGTGACTAGTCTAGAGAGTGTTCTATACCATAGCCAATCCACCCAATAGTGATTAACCTGACTTTGACCTTTGTGACTAGTCTAGAGAGTGTTCTATACCATAGCCAATCCACCCAATAGTGATTAACCTGACTTTGACCTTTGTAATAGCCATACCATAGCCAATCCACCCAATAGTGATTAACATGACTTTGACCTTTGTGACTAGATCAAAGTCTCTCATTCCAATAACACATCATTAAAAGTCCTGAGACAGTTTCAGACCATATCCATAGTTTCTCCTTCCAGTAGTAACATGTCCTTGATCTTAGTTAAGAGTTCTGTTTTAGATTGTGGAAGTCAAATGTCATAACAAAACTTTTGTGTAATCATAATCATCACAGTGTGTGATGACCATCTTATAAATATACTGTAAAATTTTAGCTTAAATATGGCATCTTCTACATCACTTCTTGTTATGCATTCCACATGATAAACTTTGATAAATGTGTCTGTGACCTTTGAACGTGGTTCTGAGAATACTACTTTTTTAACTTTGTACCAAATATACAGGCATCACACATATGTGAAATATGTTTCATAAGAAATTGTTTAAGCTCAATAGCAAGCAAAGCAATGATTTGACCTTTGACTTCTGGTGATAGTGCTTAGAAGTGACCTTATTGCTTCATAATGCTTCTAAACACACCCTCCAATCAGTAGAAATACTAAATCTAATTAGAGGGCAGATGTATTGATTGGACATCGGATTCCTGTTATTTACACGACATCATGTTAACCTGACTAGATGGTGGAAATTATCCTCCATTTAGAGCCAATTTTTTATAGTCATGGTAAAAGTAAATTGGAGTTAGAACAAGGATAACACATTCCGTTTTTTTTAAATAGAGAGGTACATGTATCAGATTCTGTCAGAAAGACTTCCAAAGCACTTCTCTACAGAACCTTAGAAATGATCAGTTTCTTATATCTTGATTTGGTACGACAAAATATCCCAGCTTAAATGTATAATTAGACTTTGAATTAAATTTTCTCTCTTCAAAACATTTGAAAATCACATTACTTTTTGTTTAAAGAGACTTCTGAATGCAAAAGAAAAATCCTCAGGGCCAAATCCAGGCTTTAGAAACATTCAGACCTGAACTTGTTTTTGAATCCTGGGGCCAGAATTGAGTGTCTTTGAACCTACTAATCATTACATATAAACGCAACACTTAATTGGCAATGTACATTTAATATAAATTACATTGATGTAGAGGATTCAGTGGTCACTCATTTCTCATTATTGCTACCCTATCTCTGTTTTGATGCGGGTTGTGTATTGATACCATTAGGTGTATCAGCCCCATGTCTTTGTAACCACCACTATAGAACTGCATGATCTGTTGGGATGTTGAGTCTCCGTCTCTCATAAATACCCCGTATTGTCACTATAATCTGTATTCTAGTTACATTTTATGAAATGGACAACAGTGCATGAAACTTTTTTCAAGCATGCCATCCCAGTTAAAGATTCAGTTTATCTTCCAGCAATCTGTCTTCCTGAAGAAATTGAAATCTGTTGGGATGTGATACTAATTACATGTATAATCACATGATCACAGGGACAAGGAAGTGAATAAAACACATTTTACCACTGTGTCACACCAATTTCAATTAAAGCTGAACTATTGTGTTTTTGCCTTCATAAAAGCTAAAAAGAACAATTGAAATTTGAGCTTTCTGTATTTATTCTGCAATAAGCCCATTATCGAAGGACATTCCAACAACAGTGATTCTGTACTTGTGGTCTAAACTCTGGTAGGGTCTTGTTACCAAGACCAGGTTTTTAGCAGAATTATAAGGGTAAATATTTATTTCCCATTATCCATCCTGAGATTGAATTCAGTTTGTGTACGTGTAGTATGATATCATTTCACTATACCAAAATCATAAAAATTCACTCATTGTCATGTTGCAGATGCCAGTTTGACTACATAGAGATTCACTATGTGAATGATGAAGGCTTTAAATCAGAAGCTGGGCGTTTTTGTGGCAGCGACACACCTGAAGAATTTGTGTCATTACAACCCAAAATGGAAATTGTCTTCAAGTCAGATTCCACCAAAGAACAGAATGGCTTCATAGCTCACTATGAGTTTCTTGGTGACAGTAAGTATACATCTAATGGATATTCTAAGGTGACTTGCTAGATTCTGACATTTTAGCTAGCTTTGTTATTGTCTGGATGGAACAATCAAAGGAGATAATGTCAAAAAAGGTATGGGAAATTTAAAACTCAACATGGTTAATTAAAGTGACGGAAGATAAAAATCTGAACATGGTTAATTATGGTAAAGAGATTGAGTAAGGAAGTTTTAATCTGGAAATGCTTGATAATTGTTCATAGCTGATTGCTGGTAATGTGGAGAGGATGCTCTGAACAGGGGGTGTTGATGGGATTGGGCACTTCTAAGATTGACTTTGGTAAGCAATGACTAATGACACAAGAAATGCATCCAGGGAGAGGAAAAAGATTGATAAAAAGTATAGGTTTTATCTGTAAGGACATCAAATAAGAATATTTTGATTAAGACGGCATTCCAATGTCTACCACAATTGTTGGTTAATGATGTAGTTTAACAGCAGGCTGTACAAGTCTTTTCTGCTTGGATGGGTAATTGTCGTTTTCATGAAACTCTAGCTGACCTCCATTTTGTAAATGGTTATTGGATGTTGATCCTCCTGGAGAGGGAGATATGGGGCTAGATATTGATGGGATCATGCAGGCTTCCTTCTAGACACACTGATTCCAGTGATTGACCACCACACCACCCACAGGCCTTCGTCCTAGTACACAAATCACCAACCAACCTTACTGCATCATCATTTTGAATGAATTTATAGTGTATGATATGTTTTTTTATATTTTTTGGTGTTTTGTCTTTATTTCTGCTTATTACTCAAAGAAATATTAATAATAAGCAAGTGCACTGAAAATGCTTTTGTTTTAAATTGTGACATGTGAACAGATATGTGTTTACAAATGGTATATGACGTGCCTGTTAGACTTTAAAGTGTCATTAATTAAACTATGAATTGACAGTATAGTTAGAATTTGTAGACATTGGATGACATGCTCACCATTTTGTTATTGGTATTTATTTAGACTGTTTACTGCAGCATTTTGTCTAGATTTATGTTCTAACAATGTATTCCTGGAGTCTTGCTTTAATAATTAAACTGAACTCTGACCTCTGAACACTGGATCAGTTGTGCTCTAACAACATGCTGGACTGCGACCTCTGAACTCTGGATCAGTTGTGCTCTAACAACATGCTGGACTGTGACCTCTGAACTCTGGATCAGTTGTACTCTAATATGCTGGACTGTGACCTCTGAAATCTGGATCAGTTGTACACTAACAACATGCTGGACTGTGACCTCTGAACTCTGGATCAGCCCTGTGCTAACAAATAAAATGGGTTCTCACCTCCTAGATTTGGAGTCTTACTCTAACAATAACTCACTCTTACCACTGCAGCAATGCTTAAACAAACTGGATTCTCAACTCTCTACTAATGCTGCATGCTCAAATAATATGGGCTCTATCCTTTGAGTTTTAAAGATCCAGGCTCTTACTAGCTCACCTTGAGTCAAAATGTCCAATTTCCACTTAAAGAATGAGGCAAGGGTCACGAATTTGTATTAATAAACACCTCAAGCAATGATATAGCAGCAGCCATGACTATACACTAGAGTCAATAGCAGTATGTTGTTCAACTCTGGTATAGGTGACTGAAAAAAAAGTTTTCTTCAAATGGTAACAAAAAATATCCAGACTATTGTGGAATATTATTATGAAAGTTAAAAGGCCTCTCCTTTCCAAAAAAAAAAGGACTTCAGGAACCGAATTACAGGACTGGTGAGTACAATTAATGTCAGGGAAATCCATTACCAAACATCCCTGTCTGGATTGTGGGTTTTCTGAACTATCAGCAGCTGGATTATCATGGGTCCACTGTATATAAAGATAACTTAATAGCAATGTTTGTTTCCTGTAAATGTCAGCTAGCTAGGTTACACAAAAAACCAATATTACATTTTATAGGTATAACAATATTTGTGTGTTTCAGACTGGCAGCCATTTGGTCCTTCCACTATAGGCTGTGGACCTGGTTACTTAACAGGGACTTCTGGGGTGATCAATTCGCCAAACTATCCAGCACTCTTTCCCACCTTAAGCCGCTGTTCATGGATCATCAAGGTCAAGGACACACACAAGATCTTGCTCCAGATTGTTGACATGGAAATCTCCAGTAGTAGTAGGTTTATTTGTAATGTTAGAAATATTGACATGAATTATACAAGTGAAATATATTAAAACAAGGATCTGAATTAGTATCACCATAGAATTGTAAAAAGTAATCTATAATTTATAGACAACAGCAGAATCCGGAGATTTAACCATAGCAACATTATTAACCTTGATCTACTTTGTGACACAGTTAAGGTAATAAAAGTGATGCTACCATGGTAACCAAACATTACTTCATAAAAATTAAGACTCTAATCATACTTTTCTGGAATTCCTGAGCTAATTGCTACTGCATGGTAGTCAAACATCTAGCTATGATATATTTTGTGTAAAATATTAAATTGCTTGCATCTCTACAGCAACAGTCCTTGTTGTATTTCAGTATATCCCTATAGTAAGTCTTGAGGATTAGACTTTAAAACTCTTTCAAAGGAAAGGAAATATATCAGCTCTCTTCTGATATTGCGTATTGCTTTTGCAGAAACGCATGCTGCCGTGGCACGCAAAACGCATGTACATGTCATTTGATTAATTCTCAGTATAAGTGCAACTCTGCAGTAGTGTCTAATTTTAAAGCTGAAAGGGAAGAACCTGGTGCTTAAGCCAATCTAATGAACTACACACTCTGTCACTATGCTTATATTTGGGATACACTCAACTGTTTTAGGTCTTTAAATTTTGGCATCTGACATTTTATAGACAATTCTTGTTGGAGAAGTAGTTGACATTTTTCAAGTTTAGGGTGTGTTGCTAGATTTGGAAATAGAATCATTAGACAGAAAATGTTCCATTTTCAGAAATTCTTGTAATGGTGGTGGATATCTCTTCATTAAGTGTCAATGTCAGTGTGTCACTGTGCTACTTAGAGATAATGAGCTGCCCAGGTTACAAGTACCGTAAATAAACAAATAAATGATTGTTAGGCTGCAGCTCTACATTTACCTATACATTGCATCAAAGTATTGCACATTTTATGAATAAGAGCATCATGTACATTCTCTTTCAGGAAGGTTTCATAGAAATACAGCAACATATTTCTTCATTAAATTCATCGAAATTGTAACACACTCAGGAGGAAGCAGGTGGAGTGAAATAATAGTGACTGCAGGCCTAAAGTAATTGATATAGGAGATATGTGGTGTTAGGTTCATACTGAATACATAGAAATGTGCGAAATATGTCAAGTGGGAGTAATTATTGACACTGAAAGATGTGGGGATTATGTGGAGTAGGGGAAATATTGACTACAAGAAAGGTGTAAGGGATATGTGGAGTAGGGGTTATATTGACTACCTGGAAGGTGTAAGGGATATGTGGAGGTGTAAGGGATATGTGGAGGTGTAAGGGATATGTGGAGTAGGGGTTATATTGACTACAAGGAAGGTGTAAGGGATATGTGGAGGTGTAAGGGATATGTGGAGGTGTAAGGGATATGTGGAGTAGGGGTTATATTGACTACCAGGAAGGTGTAAGGGATATGTGGAGGTGTAAGGGATATGTGGAGTAGGGGTTATATTGACTACCAGGAAGGTGTAAGGGATATGTGGAGGTGTAAGGGATATGTGGAGTAGGGGTTATATTGACTACCAGGAAGGTGTAAGGGATATGTGGAGGTGTAAGGGATATGTGGAGTAGGGGTTATATTGACTACCAGGAAGGTGTAAGGGATATGTGGAGGTGTAAGGGATATGTGGAGTAGGGGTTATATTGACTACCAGGAAGGTGTAAGGGATATGTGGAGTAGGATTATATTGAGTTATATTATATGGAGTATTTTTATAAATCTCTAGTATTTGAAGATTAGATGTTGGTTTTCCATAATAATAATGTTAATAATGTCTGCATGTAGTACTCAATAATTTTTTAAAAAGTCTCTTTCATAGCATGTTTTTTTTTTCAATATTTGATCGTTTAATAAAATTATTTATGACAGTAGTTTTTTAATTGAAATCTGAATAACACGTATCAAAAATGTCATTATAGATAGGCTTTAAAATAAGTACTCTGTAAGTCACTCTGCCATTATGGCTCAGAGTCTTAATACTTGTTTCAAACTTAACATTGATTGGTGATAGTGTTTTGTTCTGTACAGGGATGTATAGATCCCAAACTATTTGTTCATTTTTCTATGAAAACAGGAATATGACTTATATATTTGACCTTTTTTTAAGAGTGTTACCAGTTTTCATATTTTTTCAGTGTACTTCATGAGATATAAGTTACTGGTACTGTTTTCTTTTCAGAAAGTGATTCAAATTTTACACGATTAACTTCTGTTTCATGTGATCCATCAATTAGCTTGAAGCTTGATCTATGCAGTGTGTGGTCATTTCTATATCAATATATTCATTTCCTCCATTTGTAGAATTTCAAGATTACATTATGTGCTTGTGGCGTGATGATTCTACAAATTGAAAACTTGGCTTCATTAGCAGATGTGAATTTGTCATTTGTCAGAAAAGATTTGCTTCATTTGTCTCTGTTCAACCTTGAATGGACATGTACTGTTGCCATGGTCATGCTTTAATTACTAACATGATTTTCAACGATATCTCATTTTTGTTGACTACATATTCATTCATCTTTCTTCATTATAACGATAAGCTTTTTTAAGTGTTTAATTAGTGACTTTACATCCATTAAATTTGGTGACTTGGAACTGCTAATATCTCTTAACGTGTCTAAATGAAATTCTGTGAAACAGACTTTGACAAATTAGTTACAGAGTGGACTGGTTCAAGAAGTCAACAAACACAGATCATGTCCCTCAGAGGTCATAGGTTACCTATTACTGGTTCTAAAGGTCAAGATAGGAAGATGTCACCCAGAGGTCACAGCTAGGATAATTAATTACTAGTTCTTAAGATCCAAATACATGGATGTACTTCAGGGGTCATAGGGTACTTAATTACTGACTCTAAAGGTGAAGCATCATTAATTACAGAAAACAGCAAATGTGTTAATTGAAGTCAAGCTGAGGAACGGTTTATGGATTCTTAAAACCAAATCCCCAGGCAAATTTAAGATGTGTTATCTCCAGAAACATGCGAGACAATAAAATAACAGAATAGCACTGCTAGAAATTTGCTGATGTCATATTGTGTCAGGTTTTATATTAATCTCCGTAAAGATGATAAAAAGGAAGTGAAATGTTGCTGGAATACTGTGTTGGTACTGGAATGATATTTAATTTATATTCCGGGTTTATATGAGCTACTTTGTCCATCCATATATATATATCAGTTGTGTTAACAATTGATAGTTTCAGACATTAGTGACCTGTAAATGTTATGCGGACAGAGACTTAAATTGAGAACAAACTTCAATATTTCAATAAAATATTACCTAACTGTCCTGTTACTTGATAGTTGATAGTATAAGGATATCCAGAGTTTAACTTGAAATGACATTCTTCAGGCCAATTCTAAATACTTATGTATTTAGGATACTAAGCTGTTCAATGCTATATAATGAGTGAAATGTTATTTTGAATTTTCATGATTGCCTGTCAAATATGATTTAACAAATTATTGCAGAAAAATTGCTTGTCAAATTCTCTCAGAAAAAAGTTGTTGCCTATAATTATCATATAATTTGATGTTCCTCATAAGCTACAGTGACCTATTTAACTTGAAACTAGCTTGATTAATTGACCTTGGCCTTGATTAGTTGACCTTGGCCTTTCTTTGACCTGACTTTGACATTTTGTGTATGAATGCTGGTGGGAGGCACTGCCCAGGCATTGACTCTGCAGATTTCTTGTTTCTAGGCTCCTGCACAGATGCATTCCTTTTGTTCTTCAACGGGTTTGCCATCCCAGGAATGTATCCTGAAGAACGCTTCTGCGACACCCTGGAAAATGTCCCATTAGTTAAACGAGAGTTCTTGTCCACATCATCCAGAGTCGTTATCAGGTAGGGGGCCATGTTATACTGACAATTTGTACATGTTCTACATAGTTTGACCTCCTTTTGTCTTATTTGTAATGATGTATTGTTTCTCTTTAAACATCTATCTTTGCTGTTTACAGAATTGTTAAACTCCTGTCTGGGGAGTGTTAGCGAGACTATAAAGGCAGAGATGGAAGGTGTTACAATATGTAACATTAGGATGGCTATCATTGTAAAGGAATAAATCTAGACCATAGAACTACTCCCTAATTCCATTTCAGATTTAAAAGTTTAATTTATTTCAGAACATTCACCATTAAAAATACAATAACTAGAAATCATGGTTTCCTTGCCACAATTTTTGTGATTTATGAAGTAATTCCATTGAAGTTGGTGACAGTAATCTTTGGTTACTAAAAGCTTTGGGTTAGCACTATACATCCACTTAATGTTCTTCCATGGATTTCGGGGGTTTCAACCTGGATAAAAAGGCAATTTTGAATGGCAGATGAGGATGGTTAAATGTGGTATTACCATTAATTGCACCCATTGTAAACATTTTACTGACTCTGATTTTGTTTGCTGCATTAGGCTTACTTAGCAGATTTTAACTTTGACTTTAAACCAAAATGTGGGTTTTTGTTAAGAGTTCATGTTGCCTGCAGCATTCAAAACTGCAGTAGGAATAATTCTTTGTGTCAGTGCCATTAATCTTAGGGTTTAGAGGGCTTAAAGATAGATAACTATATTTGGCAGGATAGTCTAGAGAACAAATTTACAGGATATATCTTTTTAGTGATTTCTGCAGTTGTTTGGACAACTGTTGATATATACAAATGAATGTAAACTTTGGTAAAGGATGTTATGTAACATTTTGTCAATAATCTATAAAATCCATAAATTGAAATTCAGTATTTTAATTCAAGGACAATATTTTCAAAGTTTCCTATGAGTCTTTGCTTAGCATTGTAAGCATTAAACTTAAGAAATACCTGTATCATCTAATAGGGTTGAGATAACTTTGTTCAAGTCACACAGAGGTGATTGGTTATCTTTATCTCAGATTGTTTCTTCTGAAAAATACTGGAAATTGTTTTCATCAAGTTTATACCAGCTGGCACATCAGGTCATCAACAATATTGTCTACCAATATACAAAAAATTGATGATGTCCAATATTGACGTGATTAATCATCACGAAGTGATGATACAACCCTGACATAAAATGTGATATGAATGTGTTCTGTTGTCTGTTTCTTGAGCAAAAACATATTTTTACCCCAGAAATATCCACACAGAGTTCAGTCAGGGTAACATGTATCTCCACTTTCTGGTTCATGCTATTTTGTTTGTAACATTTCAAGGTTAGTGAGGCTCATTGACTTTATTGGTGATGGTCATCTGGGCTTCATATACAAATGAGAAATCTACCAAATCATGGTTAGATACTGTCATGTATTATTTGTATTGACTGATTGAATGCTTACAAGGAAATGGAGCATAAAAAGGATCCCTTACTTAAGGTGAGGACAGAGAAATATCTGTTCCTTGGTAGATAATTCACTGTCATCCCTAAAGGTAGAAAATATCCCAAGCAAAACTGGGTGTCTGCAACTGGGAAGTAGAATTTATACACTCTCTAATTTCCTTGTACTCTTTAGTCTTTGTCTTACTTTACTTTTGTATTGTTTCTATGGCACCTGATCATTGTCAGAATGACAGAATAAAATATCATGGTCCTGTGTCTACGCTAAAATATTCCATTGTGATAATAGTGCTTCAGAAACTAAGGTGATTCCATCATGTGACCACACTGATCCCATGCTGGTAAGGAAATGTTTCATTCCCAGAAGTAATCATTGCATATAAAATCAAACACAGATTACCCAATGGACAGATTAACTTAAATTTTTGTCAATATATCAGATTATAATGTCTGTTCCTCAGGTTTGAGTCTGGACCCTCCAGCTCTGCAAGGAAAACAGGATTTAAATTGATTTGGACAGCAGTATCCCTTGTCAAGCCAGGTCAGTGATCAGACATGCTAAATTATCATAGGTTCACATAGATTTATATGTAAGGTTCAGTATAATCTACATCATCTTAAAAGGTCAGGCATCAGAAATATCAGGAATCTTCAAGGTAACAGATCAGAAATATTAGATTTACAAAGATAGAGAATTCTAGGTCAGTACAATAGAAATATTAGATTTACAAGGATAGAGAATTCTAGGTCAGTACAATAGAGATATTAGGTTTACAAGGATACAGAATTCTAGGTCAGTACAATAGAGATATTAGGTTTACAAGGATACAGAATTCTAGGTCAGTACAATAGAGATATTAGATTTACAAGGATAGAGAATTCTAGGTCAGTACAACAGAAATATTAGGTTTACAAGGATACAGAATTCTAGGTCAGTACAATAGAAATATTAGATTTACAAGGATACAGAATTCTAGGTCAGTACAATAGAAATATTAGGTTAACAAGGATACAGAATTCTAGGTCAGTACAATAGAAATATTAGATTTACAAGGACACAGAATTCTAGGTCAGTACAATAGAAATATTAGGTTAACAAGGATACAGAATTCTAGGTCAGTACAATAGAAATATTAGATTTACAAGCATACAGAATTCTAGGTCAGTACAATAGAAATATTAGGTTAACAAGGATACAGAATTCTAGGTTTGTAAAATTACATCATGTTTTAGTGGCAATAGTGTTGTTTCTTTTATACTTTATAACTACATGACCTGTCTTTTATTTCTACATTATATCAGTTCATTTTCCACAGCCACAATGATGTTAGTTATGTAGAATATCAATATTTGTAATAAAGAATATATAATGGAACTGTTTGACTTGTGTTCTATTCTTAATCTTATTTTAGCAGGTGATTGCCATGGTTTCATGTGTTCTGGGAATGACAAGTGTTCTGATCGGTCCTCCTGTAGGAAATACTGTATAGATCAGTCACTGAGGTGTGACGGCAACCCTAACTGTGGTGAGGTGGATACCAGTGATGAAGACAAGTGTATGTATCAAATAACAACAACGCTTACAAGTTCATGTAACCCCATCCTCATCCGACAATACCCCCAACCCCTCCCCCTCCAAAAGGTCACCACAATATCATATGACCTCATGTTACCTCATCTCACAGTATAACCTATTAAAGGTCATATGACCTCATCTAATAGTAACTCATTCTAGGACTTGTAGATCTTATCTTAAAGTAGCCCTGAAGGTGAAACCCGGACAAGGTTACATAAATGCAATTAGCAGTAACTCTCACAAAGTCTTAACCTACACAAGGCCATGTCATGTGACAGTAACTCTACAAGCCCGCATGACTTAATCTGACAGCTAGTGACCTCACAAATCAGGTCTTACTGTACACACCACCAGATCATGTGACCTTACCTAACAGTCACCCTCACAAGTTGACAACCCACACAAGATCATATTTCCTCATTTCAAAGTTTACCTAGAAGACCTCATTAATGATGGGATCATCGATGTAATTATTTATATGTTGTAGGCCTCAGTAAAGTGTTGTGGATCACCATGTATGCAGTCTTGCCCTGTATCCTGATAGTAGCATCAATTGTGTTGATAGTCTTCTGCTACAAACGCCAACGCCGGAAGAAGCTGTACATTGAGAAGAAAGAGGCCCAAAGGAATGAACAAACTCACTGGGTTTCTCCACATATAAGAAGTATGGAACAAAGTCCAAACCCTGGCCGATCTACTACCATGTTGACAACTTCATTTGTATCTGCCAAACCTTTCACAGACATAGATTATAAAGACAATCCCGTTATTAAAGAAAACTTTGAAAATTCTAATAAAAGTGATAATTTATCGAATACAGTTAGCTCCGTGGAAAACACACCAAAAAAGATCATCAACAATAAAAAAAGTGCGGAGGTTGAAGAGAAAGAGATTGTTGTGCCCTCTATAGACAATAAAAAGGGATATAATAATGAAGAACCTCATGTTCAGTTTGAAATGGATACAATTCCAAACTTTAGAACACACCAGAAACGATCATCGTACCATCTTATGCAAGAACTGAATCTAGGAGAGAGTGAGATCATGATAGCTAAGATTTGACAGCTATTTACTACTAGGTTTGTTTCTGTAAAATATCTGTGCTGTGGTCACATGATGAACTTTCCATCATTTTGGTTCATTTATGAGGCAACTTGTTATACCTGTCCATGTTTTTATTTCAGACTTTATATGTGATATGACTAATATATTCCCAAATCATTTCTTATATTGGATCTGATTAAACTTATTGTGAGCTGATGAATGTCTGAGAATAGCATCTGAGATGTTTTCCTGCATGAAATAGTTGAGATTGAAATCTGGCACTAATTGTTCATAGTTTGGTCAGAGTTAACAAATGGTTTGTGAAAAATTCTAATTACTGTCACTGAACAAGCAAAGACTTTAAAGAGTTTTGGTCACGATTTTGGTTTTTGTTCAATTCCCTTACATCATATCTAAAAAGTTCTACCACCAATACTTGTTTTAGGCAGTCAAAATTTGTTGTGCATAAGTGAGAAATTTAATGAGGTGACTGATCACGTAGTACATGTGACATCAAAGTGTTTTTTAGACTGGCCATGTCTAATATGTACACAGTAGTATAGAAGACAGATACTTCTCATACAATCCTGTTGAAAGTGAAATTTTCTACTTTAACTAAACACTTTATATGATTTTACTAAAACTAAACGTATGTCCAAACAGTGGACCCTGAATATTATCCGTTTTGTTTTTATAGAGGCTGTAAGAGGTCCATAAAGAAACAAACTACCATTTAACACCTATAGTTAATTACATACTCAAAGGCTAAGCAATATCACAAGTTATAATCTTCATTTAATTTTGCTGTGATCTATTTGGAGGGGTTCATTTGGACAGAGATATCCATATCTCTCCACTTCTAAGAAAAAAATTCAGTTTTATTTGGTCCTGAAATATATCACTTTAATCGTTACTGAGAATATATATTGAAATATGAAAAAGTTAAGTTATTTTCCTATGGATTTGGTCATCAGTTTGATTTCGATCTGTATTTTTATAACATTTGCGATCACTAAATTTTAATTGTGAAAGAATTAAGTTAAAATAATAATTAACAGTACTTGTTGTAGATATAAGCTAAAAATCATTTCAGACAAGGTGATTAACATAGATACAGCTGTTTCTGTTGTTGCTCCCCTTTCAAAATGATTTTTTGAAAAAGAAAGAAAAAAAACCACTTTAGAATTTTTGTTGTTATACATCATTGTGTAAACAATAACTCTATACAAAGGTAGATTTAACTTTAAAACGATTTTGAACATCTGAAAATGAATGGAGGCGTGGCATGTGTCACAAAAGTAGTGTCTTATCAGGTATAAATAGAGTATCCCTATCGCCACAGTAACACTTTGATGTCATGTGTGACATGACCTTGTTTTGCAATCAAAATATAAATATTCACCAGATTAAGCTAAAGGGGATGGGACCAGCTTTCATAGTCGTCTGAAATGGAATGCTTCTTACTATATACATTATTGTATCATTTTAGATTGACATGAAATGTTGTGGCCAAAACCTTTTAAATCAAGATAATCATTCAATATATTTATTTGACCAGTCACAAAAATTTACAGATGTGCAATTTTAAAGAATGTTCCCAATTTTGTTTAATTCATATTTGAACATTTTTTACTAATCACTGTTTATATCTGACTAACCTTTGAATGACTGCAGCCTGAATGTTTGTCATTGTATGTACTGAATGTTTTATCATAGAAAAACCTTAGAATATAAGAATATGGACTGTGCTTCAAGATTGTATAGTAATTTAACTGGAGTTTTTTTGTATTTATCAGAAAAGCACCATGTGACAATGGGCTTAAAGACATAAGTGTTCGAGTGCAATGACACTCAAAAGCTAACAGACTTAAGTCAAGTAACATACATTGATTTTTAGTGAGAATATGATTAAAACAAAGGACAAGAGTCTATAAGCCCTTGGTTGTATGACTAAAGAGTTTCCAGGGTATTTAAATCCAAAATAAATCCATTCTAGCATTATCATATAACTGTCAAGTACAGTATGACTATATATGGACTACCACATATAAGCCGCATTGGCAGTTAACTTGCACACCCAAACCACGAGGAAAAAAGTTACAGTTATAATCCAGAAAAAACTATAGTCATGTCATGTATGACCTAAAAAAAACTCCACTCAATGAGATGTGAACAAGATTTTACAAATGATGTACATATGTTTGAATGAAAGTGTGTTTCCATCAGATTATGTAGAAATTGTATGTGTGTCCGAGATATTGATTTAGACAAGCGATGTTTTACACTTTTTATAATTTTCTTTCATTTCAAAATTCCATTATATTCATGAAATTATACTTTCATTTACCATGTTTCAATAAAACTTTATCAAAAAGGTTGGTAATGTTGATACATGCACCTAAATTGTTCAGAAATACCATTTCCTTTACATTTACCTGATGAAAGTGATCCTGATGTAAACATGCATGCAGTATGAAAAGAGAGATAACTCTTTGTTTTCAGTGTTAAATTATTTCCATTAATGCATTCCATAACTTAAAGAAATATGTTCGTTCATTTCCATAATTTTCTCTATCATCTTCTCTGTGTTTGTATGTTATACACAAACTCATAAGAGTTCTAGAAAATAGGTGGGACCATCACAATTTTGTGATCAAAATAGCTGATATTCAAATGATACATCAAACCTCAGTGTTTGGGATGGCATTGATGCTAAACAGTTTAAGAAAAAACATTTTTTATATGTGATTTATATTTGATTTCAAGATGAAAAAACAAACAAACAAAAACATTAGCATTACTGATATTTGTTAAGTCCCTTTTCCCAATATGTATCAAGCTTACAATTGTGTTATTCAATGCAGTCTTCTGGACTACAGTAATTTAATTATATGTTAAATCCCTTCTACCAATTGTTTGTTTTCAGAATAAAAATTGTAATATATTGACTAATTAGTGTTTTGTAGCAATGTTTCTGGTTTAACTGAAGCTGTTAGTAATTGAAGACAGCTCTATAAATTACAGTATCACTATGTGAGCAGTTATATCTGTCGATCTCTCAAAACAGTATTCTAAGGTGTCAGTTTAGACATCAGATCTGCTATTGTGCTACTTATTATCTTTGATCTAAAGAAACAGTGAAAACATTTATTGTGTTGATGAATCTGGTGTGGGAATTGTTTTATTGTCTCAAAAAACAAGGGACAATGTGAACTTTGTGGATATACTGAAATGTAAATCAAAATGAATTCAAAATTAAAACCTGTATGTAAGATTAAAACAGGGACATGTAAGAAGAAGAACCAGGGGGCTGGACCAAGTGTTCCTGAAAGTAAAGTATTTCAACTTGCAATTAACACTATCAGAACAAGTTGTGCTGTAAAGTCACAGTAATAACCACTACTACAGCCATTTTCTAATCAGTAATTAAGTTTACAACCAAATGTCTAGAATATGTATGGAAATATTTACAATTGATGACTACCTTCATCATTATCATTTACTTTTACCTTAACAGGTAGGGAAGATCTATTAATTAATTTTGTATCACTGTTTTTGAAAATTTGACAAATACCAAAATTTACATTGTGAAATCAAAAGCAAAAGATAAAAAATTTAGAAATATCAAATGTCAAACTGACATCTTGAAACCAGTTATACTGTCAGTTTACTTAATTTAGCACAGTCAAATTTTAGTTTGTTATCACCTTTTGTTAGTGCATCTGCAATAACTGTTTAATATAAACAACACACAGAAATTGCAATTAGTGCAAATCGTATTTCAGCACAATACTTTCAGGGCAAAAAGGTGATAAAATAAGGTATCAGCTGAAATATGTTCACAGTATACAACAAGTAAATATATACACAAAAATGTACCTTACACTGGAAAATTATACTGCCAAAGTATTATTTTGTTGTCCAAGCCGATCCAGAAAAAATGCAAGCATTTTGCCAGTTATAAACAAAATGCCAGACTTAATTGTTTGTTGATTATGAAACACAATAATTATATGAGGTGATGTTACCTGCAGCTGAACCAAATTCAGAGTGTGTTAAATCCTTCCGAGTTGTAATGATAAATCCATCTATTTTGCACCTTTTCAATATATGTCCAGAAAAATTTAATTATGTTGGGAAGCAATTGGTCTGACAGGTGATGTGAAAGATCCTGTGATTTAAGTTAATTCTCTTTCAACTTCATTTCCTCTTCTCACTTCTTGGTCATGAGTTCGCAGTCAACATAGGGTAGTCGCAAAATACTAGCCACAAGTTGGAGGTTTTTCCCTGGGAACTACAGCTTTCTTTCACCATCGAAAACTGACACGTCCTGAAATGATCCTGGCTGTTTTTTGGACGTAAAGCAACAATAAACAAAACTAAACTCTAACCCGACTGTATTTTGACCTTGAGATATGTTTATGTGTTTGTTTTGTTAGTTTGCGGGGTTCATGGTCCCATGAACAGCCAGGGTCAGGTTGAGATGGGGTCTCCTTGTAGTAGCTGGTGGCTACCTCACTGAAAACATACAGGAGGCATATGGTAACCAAAACAATTAGTGTAAATTGTCTCGACCAAGGACACAATTATGACAGCCTGGACCAGTCTATTTTGAGCTTCGCAAGAAACACAAACTGTCCATGTTGAACCATGTACAATAGATCAGTCTTCACTTAAGGATACATATAAGGCTAACACTCATGTGACTGATCCAGCCCCACCTGGTCATCAGATTGACATTGTGTAGTAGCGTATCCATAATCCGTCTGTCCAGATGTTCTGTTTTAGACTTCATATCATCAGGACAAACCAAGGTTATATGGAGCGAGATGAGACCCACTCAATGAAAGGCAGATTAGAGGGGAACACGACGTAATTTTCTAGTTTAAACATCAAGTGACTAGCAGGTGCTACTAGATAGATTTAATCGAGTTAACTCCACAGCAGTGATCAATACCTTCCATCAGATGTACCTTTTAGGTGTCAATAAATTAGTAAAGAGCTAATCAGTTTTCTTTTATAATAATTCTATGTATGAACACTAACATTAGTTAGTGAGGGATAACTAGTGTTTTTGTTAGATCATACACGTGATTACAGACAAGAAAATATTAAACCATGCTGACCAACAATGCCACAGTATGTTTAGGTCTTAATTGGCATTCATTGAAGAGAATTTCACAACTAACACTTTGACTAGTGTATCAAACTTACCAATATTTCTTAGTAATTCATAAAAGACAAAGATTTCAACCAACACATGCTTATTTGATGACAATCGGTATCTTCTACAGTCATAAGGCTTGATATAGATTTTATTATTTAAAAAAAAACTATGGTTATAATAATTGTTAAATGCTTGAAGTAAAATTATACCATGCCCACTTAAACATTTCCTTTTTAATAAATTACTAATTCATACTGCTGAAGATTAATTAGATATCCATTGTTAGGATGCTTAAAACTTTAGATCTCCTGAACAAATTCATCCTCATCAAATGTTGATGATGCGTCTTTCTATATGGTTGATTAGTCACATTGTGATTGCAAGCTAGATGGACTAAACTTATCTTGTGTTTGATGCTAGATGGAACAATCACACTGTCTCTGACACTTGTTACTAGCCACACCATGTCTGACACTAGATGGAACAATCACACTGTCTCTGACACTTGTTACTAGCCACACCATGTCTGACACTAGATGGAATAGTCAAACCATCCCTAACCCTTGTTACTAGCCACACCATGTCTGACACTAGATGGAACAATTACACTGTCTTTGACCCTTGTTACTAGCCACACCATGTCTGACACTAGATGGAACAATCACACTGTCTCTGACACATGTTACTAGCCACACCATGTCTGACACTAGATGGAATAGTCACACCATCCCTAACCCTTGATGGACTAGAGCCACACCCTGTCTGACACTAGATGGAACAGTCACACCATCCCTAACCCTTGTTACTAGCCACACCATGTCTGACACTAGATGGAACAATTACACTGTCTTTGACCCTTGTTACTAGCCACACCATGTCTGACACTAGATGGAACAATCACACTGTCTCTGACACTTGTTACTAGCCACACCATGTCTGACACTAGATGGAATAGTCACACCATCCCTAACCCTTGATGGACTAGAGCCACACCCTGTCTGACACTAGATGGAATAGTCACACTGTCTCTGACCCTTGTTACTAGCCACACCATGTCTGACACTAGATGGAACAGTCACACCATCCTTAACCCTTAATGGACTATAGCCACACCATGTCTGACACTAGATGGAACAATCACACTGTCTCTGACCCTTGTTACTAGCCACACCATGTCTGACACTAGATGGAACAATCACACTGTCTCTGACCCTTGTTACTAGCCACACCATGTCTGACACTAGATGGAACAGTCACACTGTCTCTGACACTTGTTACTAGCCACACCATGTCTGACACTAGATGGAACAGTCACACCATCCCTAACCCTTGATGGACTATAGCCACACCATGTCTGACACTAGATGGAACAGTCACATCATCCCTAACCCTTGATGGACTATAGCCACACCATGTCTGACACTAGATGGAACAGTCACATCATCCCTAACCCTTGATGGACTATAGCCACACCATGTCTGACACTAGATGGAACAGTCACACTGTCTCTGACCCTTGTTACTAGCCACACCATGTCTGACACTAGATGGAACAGTCACATCATCCCTAACCCTTGATGGACTATAGCCACACCCTGTCTGACACTAGATGGAACAGTCACACTGTCTCTGACCCTTGTTACTAGCCACACCATGTCTGACACTAGATGGAACAGTCACATCATCCCTAACCCTTGATGGACTATAGCCACACCCTGTCTGACACTAGATGGAACAGTCACATCATCCCTAACCCTTGATGGACTATAGCCACACCATGTCTGACACTAGATGGAACAGTCACACTGTCTCTGACCCTTGTTACTAGCCACACCATGTCTAACACTAGATGGAACAATCACACTGTCTCTGACCCTTGTTACTAGCCACACCATGTCTGACACTAGATGGAACAATCACACTGTCTCTGACCCTTGTTACTAGCCACACCATGTCTGACACTAGATGGAACAATTACACTGTCTTTGACCCTTGTTACTAGCCACACCATGTCTGACACTAGATGGAACAATCACACTGTCTCTGACCCTTGTTACTAGCCACACCATGTCTGACACTAGATGGAACAGTCACACCATCCCTAACCCTTGATGGACTAGAGCCACACCATGTCTGACACTAGATGGAATAGTCACACCATCCCTAACCCTTGATGGACTAGAGCCACACCATGTCTGACACTAGATGGAACAGTCACACCATCCCTAACCCTTGTTACTAGCCACACCATGTCTGACACTAGATGGAACAGTCACACCATCCCTAACCCTTGATGGACTATAGCCACACCATGTCTGACACTAGATGGAACAGTCACAACTTCCTTGACCTTGATGGACTTATCTACACCATGTCTGACACTAAAAAGTAGTAGCGCCTGTCTGATGTTAGTCTAACTAGTCACACTATGTCACACACTAGTTGAAACAGTCACACAGTGTCTGACACTAAATGGAAGTCATGCCTTGTCTGATGTTACATTTACTAGTCACACTATGTCGGACGCTAAATGAAATAGTCACACAGTGTCCAACACTAAATGGAAGTCACGCCTTGTCTGATGTTAGACTTGATAGTCACACTATGTCACACACTAGATGAAACAGTCACAAAGTGTCAGCTGCTAAATGGAGGTCACACCTTGTCTGATGTTAAATTTACTAGTCACACTATGTCTGACGTTGAGGAAACAGTCACACAGTCTCTGACACTAAATGGAAGTCACGCCTTGTCTGATGTTAAATTTACTAGTCACACTATGTCTGACATAGAGTAAACAGTCGCACAGTGTTTGACACTAAATGGAAGTCGCGCCTTGTCTGATGTTAGATTAACTAGTCACACTATGTCTGACGTAGAGGAAACAGTCATATCATGTAAGACATTACTTTAAAAATAAGACATAATTTTCCTTCATGCTCTAGTCATGGACTAGTCACATGTCGTGTCTGAGGCTTTACAGATTAGTCATTTGATTAGACTAGATGGACAAGTCATGTGACTTAACCTTGATGGACAAGTCATGTGACTTAACCTTGATGGACAAGTCATGTGTCTGAACCTTGATGGACAAGTCATGTGTCTGAACATTGATGGACAAGTCATGTGTCTTAACCTTGATGGACTAGTCATGTGTCTTAACCTTGATGGACTAGTCATGTGTCTTAACCTTGATGGACAAGTTGTGTGACTCAGGCTATATGGACAAGTCATGTGTGTGAGGCTAGATGGACAAGTCATGTGTCTGAACCTTGATGGCAAGTAGAGTGTCTGAGGCTAAATGGACCAGGCATGTGTCTGAGGCTAAATGGAGTAGTCACCCATTGTCTTTTGATGTTGAAATGTGTGGAAACACAGATAAGGTGACTTGGACTTACTTAAATCTGACACTTTCTAAATGAATTCTTCCCTTTGTGAACTGGTCTCACTGTCAAAAAACTTTGTTGGTCACCATTTTATGTATTTATGGGAACAATCACTTTTGGTCATGTGACTCCCCGCCAGGACATATATTGTACACTGTATACGGATGTGAGAGGAGTAAAGACAATGAACAATCCAGAGTAGATATATATATATATACATATATATATATATATATATATATATGAATTGATCTGTATTACTTTTTAATTAAAATTTTCATTTCGGTGTACTGTCTTTATCTTCTTTGTGATATTTTATTGTGACTTTCGCACAACACATACAGTTTCAAACCAAGAGTGACATAGAGGTCTACTGAAAATAAGCAAAGGATCATTACATTTGTCTCAAACAATCATCAATTCAATGCCAAAAACATGATTTTCTCTTAATTAAACTTTAATCATTGAATCATACTATTAAGAAAAACTGAAGAAACCAAAACATTGAGCCAACACATAAACAGATGGCATGCACCGGAAATGTGTTTATCATCATGAATCATTTCTAAACTAAGATTTAATCTTGTTTCCACATCAAAACAATATATTAACATTTTGAGTCATTGAATGAAATATTGTGTAACTACTAGTGCCCTTGAAGTGTGAGGAAGTTATTATGATTGAAGTCATTGCAGAACTCTGCCATTCGGTGGTTAATCATCATCCATTTGTCATCATTATGAAAGCTGTCTCAGGGTAAAGAGTTTACATTTAGTTTGTGTTTATTTATTCTAAAAATGCCAATATTTCATTTTCTCAATGTTTCTTCTATTCGCTACTTTTTTTAGACCTGTACCATCGCTGAAGAATCCCATGAATTATTAACCATGTTTTCAGAATTATTATTAAAGGTTATTTCCCTTTGTATATAAATATTTTGCCAATTGCATTAAAATCCATCAATACCAAATAAGATTTTCTTTTGAAGATTGGTATGCCCCATCTATCACTTCTTTTTCAACATTGATCGAATACTGTATAGAAAGAATAGATCCATCAAACTATCTACAGCATGAGACTATTATGCTGATCATATTGATAAAATCTAACAACCAAGATATAAAAAGATGAACCCAAAATTTCTACGAAGTAGTGTTTTCATGTTACCTTATCTAATACATATACACAGTAGATCTTCATAACCAATGTAAACATTCCATTGTGTCTGTTTAAAATCTTAAAAAAAATAAATCTACCCACTACTAAATCCATATCTCAGGTTAGGATACAAGCTTGTAAACCAAATTTCACTGACAAATGATTTATGAGCTTAGCATAATCTGAGCAAATTGAAGACGCCTAGTATATAACAGTTACATGTATATATAGTCTTCATTTACTGATGCATACAAGTTACTGTCACTTCTCACAGGTAAGAAACATACCAATTACATGCAAATGTAGACCTTTCTCTAAGGACATCATACAAGGTCGAATCTACAGTATTCTCAGAACTCTGTGAACAGGATCGGTTGATTTATAAAAATAAATAAAAATGAACTTTATCGGTTTATTTTCAAAAACTCTATTTCAAGGACAATTCATGAAACTGAAATCCTGAAATAACATTCTGAATAAAGTTTTCAACTTTTAATTATAAGCAGTTCTCAATGATCATTAAATCATTACTAATATATAAACAGCTGATTACATCATACAACAAAACGATAACAGTGGTAAAAGCATCCAAATACAAGGCGTTAGCAACTCGCTTATAATCAAATAATCTGGATTTCTCACAACCATGATTAATATTCGACATAATGACTAATTATTATATGAAGTATACGAAGTTCTAAATAAATAAAATAAACTCATTTAAAGGAGTGTAGAATTTTGAATTTCATGATTATTAAATGGTACATGTCATTGTCCGACTAATAATCAACATTGCTCCAATAAATATTTCATCATCTGAATGCCTCTAGTTGTGTTGATGTTACAGTCCTGTGACATTGACAATTACTGATATCAAAGATCACAGCATTATCAATTACACAGACCAGAACTCTTGAGGAAAAGTATGCCATGAACACAAGACCGAAAACTCATAAAGTAAAAGATACTGAGCGCTATCGCAATATGACAATAGTCAGAAGGTCAAATAAATAAGACTAGAAGTCAATTGGTTAGCAATCTACATATTATGACCTAGACATGAAGAAGCTACATCACTTCTCAGAATGAAGACAGGGAGAATTCACATCTCTTCAATTTTACATAATCAGAAAATAAGTCCATGAATTGCTGATATGTAAAAAACATCAAAGATTATTCATGTAGGTAAATGCATGCCTGACAAGGAGATTTAACTTGTACAATTCACTCTGTGTTTTGGAAGTGTGTTCCATTAGCTGCTGCTAAGTCTGATCATCAGCCAATGGTACTGTATGATAACTTATCACAGCAGCAACCAATGTAAATATGACATTTGTGACAATAGATTAATCATAAGCACAAGAGTGTGAACATGCTTGGTTTACTATTTTATCCATTTCCTACTGGATCTCAAGTAGGTAGTTTTTCATTGGGTTTGGTAATGGTAGCTCAGGCACTCTCCTAGCTAGGTTTCTCTGTAAGGCCACATAGATGGAGACACGTGCTATTTCTTTCAGACTTCTCGGGTTCTCACTGAGTCTTGTAAGCAACTTGACAAAGTCATGTCCAGTGGCACCTAATGGATGGAAACGTGCCATGAATCTAGCATTGCTGAGACAGTCATACAAGACACAATGATTCATTGTGTTGTAAAAGAGAAGCAGCAGATCCTGGGCATGTCCGTCATCAAGAAGACTGTCAAACTCCTTCACCTCATAAATGTAGTGGTTGAGAGCCTGGGTGCCCTGGTGTTTCAGAAATATGGAGCTTTGTGAATGACAGATAATGGGCTCCGAGGCATATGGTTCTAAATCAGGGTCTGCACCCCACTGGAACAGTGTCAAAAGCCAAAGTCTTATCACTGCAAAGTCTGAAGTTGTGTTTGCTTGCTGAGCCAATCGAACAAAGTCAATTAATGCATTTCCTGAACCACCTTGTAAATGTTTGCGTTTTTTTCTCGATACATGATTTGGATTCATTCCATATTTCAACATAAGTTCAAGCACTTGGTTTACTAGCTGAGCATACTTAGCCAACATGTCTTCCTTGATAGCAGGTAAATATCTCTGGCCAGCAAAGTAGCGACTGGCTATCTCTGACAATAATGTGGAACAAGTACCTTGCTCTATGTACATGAAGTTTGTTTCAGCTCCGTGACACAAAAGAATTTCTATCGTCTCCAGGATACCATTCTGTTCCAGGCAGATATCCTCAATATCCATTTCTGAAAGACACTGTAGAATAAGAATAAGTGGTGTGTGACCAACTTGACATTGCGAGTTAGGATTTGATCCATGCTTCAGCAGAACTTCTACTGCCTTTTTGATGTAGCCAAAGTTATTCTTGTATAAATACTGTGCATCAATGGAGTCACAGATGCAAGGTATTGCTGCCTGTTGCTGCTGAAAGGAAGATTTGAGAGCAATATGTAGAAGCTTGTTTATGGGTGTGAGGTTGAGACGATTTTCACAGTCAGGGTCAGCATTGAACTGCAGCAACAACTGCAATGTACCAATCACCTGTTCTTGATAGTCGGTCTGCATCTCGCTGCGAGACACATGCCGGCCATCGTCTTGTTTGTGGAGAAGATGACCACCAATAAACCCGACATGTGTTACGAGAACATGAAGTGGAGTTTCATATTCATTATTTACCTCATTTATCATCTGCTCCAATCCAGTTGTCAGGAGAAATTTTGTTGTATCATAGATTGTAAAAAGTCCATCAATATCATTTCTGTACAGTCTGTGAAGAGCTGTTTCACCTAATTTTGAAATGCCTCTGGCATCTGCTCCATGTTCAATTAGAATCCTCACACACTTTTGTCCCCAACCAACAGCTGCCAGTAGAGGAGTGTCTCTTTCATTGTCTATGGAGTTCACCTCCTCTGGGAATTTTTTACAGAAATACTCAATACAATCTGCAGATCCTTTATGACAGGAGAAATGGAGAAGAACTGACGGCAAAGGCAGTGGTATACCTTGTTCTGTCATCTGGGTCAAAAGAATTTTCACACAACCAATATTGTTCTCAGATATTGCACAAAACACTGGCAGAGATGGTTCTTTTTGACATGCAAATACAGGCCGATCTAACAATCCCATCCATTTGGAATATTTCACTGCCTGATGCTGACCTGGATAGCAAAGACCTCCAATTTCACACACATCAGCTCCATTCTTCAGGAGAATTTCTAACAAGCCTTCATACCCAAGGTGTGCTGCTAGGTGAAGAGGAGGGCTACACTTGGAGTGGTATCGAATGACTCTGCTCTTGGCTAGGAGAACAAGGATATCCTTGCGGCCATTTATCACTGCAAGCTGCAGTAAATTGTACCCATTAACTTGATCTTTAACACATAATATGTTTTCATCTACAGGTAGTTCATTCACCAACTTGACAATGCTGGATTCCTGTGGGTCCTTCTTGTGCCTCAGAAGGTCAATCACCCTGAGCACTTTGAGTTCTGTTCCATGAGATGGAGGTTTGAGGTGAGATCCGAACAGTAGTCTGACAGGCCATGATGCCTTGAAGTACTGATTAAGATGGTACAGGCATTCATATGTAAAGTCCAGGAAGGAGGCCATGCCTCAAGTAGGTTTCCAGACCAGTCTAGTGAGATCTGTCCTGTCTATTTGTTTGGCAGTAGCACTGGCTTCATCATGTGTTCTGAAACAGATGTATTCCAAATGAAAAATCAGTTTCTAACTTCATATAGAGGGGTGAATTACTTGTCCCTCTTATATTATATTGATCATATTGACAGATATCTTAATGAGCACACTTAACAAATTATTAATAATCATGTGATTAATGTTTAAAGAAAGTAAAAGCTATCAACAATCAGAAATACAACTAATATACAAAACAAAACAGCACACAATTTGATGACATGAATATACCACTTACCTACACACAATTTGATGACATGAATATACCACTTACCTACACACAATTTGATGACATGAATATACCACTTACCTACACACAATTTGATTATAGCAAACAGCAATTATCTACACACAGTTTTATGATGTATACCACTTACTTACTTACAATTTTATGACATCAATATGACCATTACCTACACACAATTTGATGACATGAATATACCACTTACCTATACACAATTTGATTATAACAAACAGCAATTATCTACACACAGTTTTATGATGTATACCACTTACTTACTTACAATTTTATGACATCAATATGACCATTACCTACACACAATTTGATGACATATACCACTTACCTACACACAATTTAATGACATTTACCACTTACCTATACACAATTTGATGACATGAATATACCACTTACCTACACACAATTTGATGACATGAATATACCACTTACCTACACACAATTTGATTATAGCAAACAGCAATTATCTACACACAGTTTTATGATGTATACCACTTACTTACTTACAATTTTATGACATCAATATGACCATTACCTACACACAATTTGATGACATGAATATACCACTTACCTATACACAATTTGATTATAACAAACAGCAATTATCTACACACAGTTTTATGATGTATACACACAATTTTATGACATCAATATGACCATTACCTACACACAATTTGATGACATATACCACTTACCTACACACAATTTAATGACATTTACCACTTACCTATACACAATTTGATGACATGAATATACCACTTACCTATACACAATTTGATTATATCAAATAGCAATTATCTACACACAATTTTATGACATCAATATGACAATTACCTACACACAATTTGTTGACATTAATACAAGGCTTATCTACACACCCAAAATATCACTATTTACATTCTATACTCAATACTTAAAACCTTCATTTGACATACCTGTATTTTACAAAATATCTTTCCTTTTATCCACATATTCTCCTAATGGCAGGTGCCCTGATCATGATTGACCATGATTTCAGATAACACACCTGATTGATAAATAGTACATGTACACTATGGTGTTGGTGGTATGTTTAAACCTTGACCTAAATGATAACAGTGTAAGCTTTACCGTCTTCTATATTTCTATCTAGGTTTTGTGTTGACTACTTAAAGACACAGCTGTTACACCACACATTCTGATATATCTGGTCAGTATCGCGTCCCTATTTGCATTATTATAACTGAGGATATTGTCTTGGCAGCAGTGATGGTTATAACAGCATACATGTCTACCTCACTGAAAAATATATGGAAGGCCCATCAATCGCTATCATGTGCAACTAAGGCAAAGTGTCATGGCCAAGGACACTACCATAACAGTCAGTTTCTCATGGCAAGCTTCCAGAAGAACACAAAGTACAAGAGGTTAGGAGCATATAACCGTATGCCTTGGTGTTTTGTAAGTTGTGAAACTAAGCCAAATCTCCATCGAGCGATCCTTGTCACTTGGTACTTAAGTAGCTGCAGGTCAATAGGAATATATGTACTTTTTTAATTGGTCAATAGAGATATGTATTGATGTAACTTGTCAGTAGAAACACCATTTATAGTGATGTACAGGTAACAGGTCACCATAGAAACACCACTATACTAATGTCACTGGTCAGTACTAACAGTAGACACACCATATGATATGATGTAAACCTGTAACATGTCAGTAGAAACACCATTATATTGATGTAAATGGTCAGTAGAAAAATCATTATATTGATGTAAATGGTCAGTAGAAACACCTTTGTATGGATGTGACTGGTCAGTAGAAACACCTTTGTATGGATGTGACTGGTCAGTAGAAACACCATTATATTGATGTGACTGGTCAGTAGAAACACCATCATATTGATGTGACTGGTCAGTAGAAACACCATTATATTGATGTGACTGGTCAGTAGAAACACCATCATATTGATGTAAATGTTCAGTAGAATCACCATTATATTGATGTAAATGGTCAGTAGAAACACCTTTTTATGGATGTAACTGGTCAGTAGAAACATCTTTGTATCGATGTGACTGGTCAGTAGAAACACCATTATATTGATGTAACTGGTCAGTATAATAACAGTAGACACACCATATGATATGATGGTTCTAATCAGTACTTGGAGACACCATTTTTTTCCAAATAATGAAATGGAGTCTGATATGGATATTTGATGTACTGTAATTACATATTACACAGTGACTCGGTTATGACCTGAACCCTTGAAGGAGGGAGTGATTGCACCATGACATACTCCAAAATTGAACTTTATTTTACAACAATTGCAAAAGAAGTTATTCCAACTTATCCAAATCACTCTTGTTGGCCAAAAATGGAAGTGTGTGAGGGGTCCTACTGTGTGAGGGAACCCGAGTTCCTGGGGAAACCCACTTAGTCAGGTGACCCTACATCCATTTCAGTAAGCAAACCCCAGACAAAGAGATGAAAGGCGAGTGCATTACCATTGTGTCACCTGACCACTGAATAAACTCTGCCTTCCAATCCTGGAAAACTGTGTGTGCCAATGGAAAGAAAAATTGTTTATTCTGAGCACTAGTTTCATAACATGTCCTTGGTTATAATTCTCACAGGACCTGGATTGCTGAAAATCATACTGAAGAAGGCAAAAATTAAATGTATTTTTCTGCTTGAAACATTATTCAGCTAACCACTACCACATAACATGTGGCAGATGTAATGGTTAGACAATTTACAAGTAGAATCACACCATTTCATTTTGTGTTCTTGATCATTAGTTCATTTTAGAGTGAAATGGCTATGGGCATATTCAAAAACATTTTGAGTGGATCGAAAAAAAATGAAGAGGGATAGCGGTTGGGTGGGGCAATAATAGAGAACCAAAGACAAATTAAATAACAATTAGGGATTTTGAGTAATCTAGCATTGCTGTGAATGTATGTGCTGATCAGGTACTGGAGCATCATATAGGCAAATCTGGCTATTGTCACATTTGATTATATGTACATGTATATAGGGCAAATGTAAACAACTGTACCATACCCCTGGTCACGACATGGTGTCACATCGATGTAGACAGTTGGTAAAATGGAAGATTTTGTTTTAAGACACCATTTTCAGTGATTTTGTTAACGTTGACTTTCATCTTTGCAATTTCTCGTACTTGCATCCCTTTATCCACATGTTCAAATGGTGAGACATGAAATATCTTTAATTCATTAAGACACCTCATATTTCACTTGCTTCCATCACACAATTCACATCCATTGTGGGTTATATATTTTTGCACAGAACCATCATGCTGGGAGTGCACTTGTGACCCGAATCTGCATCAAAGGGATGCTTCCCTGCAGACGACACACATGTAACAATGCCTTTTTTTAATCGCCTGAGCAAATATGCCAAAAACATTCATTTCACTGACAGACATGATTCGTCATCCATTTCCTCGATCTGCACGATAGAAATGTGGCCGGACCGCAGCTGTATGTTTACATTTGCCTGATATAAGTATCGTCAGATTTTACTATATAGCCACATCTGCCTATATAGCCCGATATGCCGGAGCTCCGCTCTATAATCTACATGTTATCACGAACCAATATCACCAAGATCGTGTGCTCAACTGTTATCTGAGAATTACATTTGCTTCCGTACTTTTCTGCTTTCATGACTGCCAATGGTTTATTTAATGTCACAAAAACAGAAAAATGTAAACAATCCAATTTGGCATGGTTGTAAACCCTATTTTTAAACATCAGTCATAATAAGGTGCGCTTCAATTAACCGAATAAGAAGAAATATATATCAACTTACATTATAATTGGGAATTACTTGTTGTCACACGTAAACACCGACGACTGATGACACTTCCCTTGACACAGAATCATCGTTAAACGATCTGGTCTGGCGCACCTGATCGACCTTGAACTTGGACACGTTGTTTTTCTACCTCCCGCCACGAAAGAGTGCCATTGGTGCTTGTGATACAAACTACAACCCAGTACTTGACTATATGTGGACAGACTGGATATCTTCATATTCAGTGCGAATGTATCAACCAGGAAATCGTTGATGCTTGAAAAATTCAGGATGAGGCTTTTATTCTCTGGTATCGCATTACAATGTAGCTAATTACAATAAATATTATTAAAGTACAATCGCATGTAGTTTTGGTGTTAAGTTATCAAGGCAAATGGTGTTTTCTAATGTTTACACAATTTTCCAGCCAAACATAGATATTTTCCGAAAATTGGTGGCATTTCTCGACAATTGGTAGCTTTTCTTAACTTTCAAACAAGTCCGGGATTTTCTTGTAATTCCACTGTAATGGTATGCAATGTACTAAATGCAATACTAGCACGCCAACATAATTAGATATATTTGTAGCCATATCTTGAAAGTCAAGTAAGCCAAGTTAAATGAGAAACGTGTAATAGAGGGAATTGAGACTGTGTTTTTCTACTTTTCCTAGTTCTTTCAAATGCTAGAAAATGCATGTTTGTATCTAATTGATCCCTGATTATCATGAGTGACTAGAAACGTTCTAATCATAACGTGTAAATTGATATCTTCTGAACCATGATTGTATTATGGAATATTTGAACTGAAATATTGTATCAATTACAGGTAATTAGCGATGCTGTGTTTGTATACAATTTTACTCCAAAAGTTTACAATAAATAAATAGAAATTTCAATTTTCAAATTGATCTCGCTAATTTTTATGACAATTATTCTCTGTTTACTTAGATTTTTTATAAACAAAATGCATGTTTGAGCTATTCACGACAGATATATCACCCTGTATCGAAAAGAGTCATTTATAGATCCGTGGCACTAAAAAACTCAATGGTTTCCCGTTCTATGTTATTTGTATGATTAGCCAGTTGATCACTTGGAGTTCCCTCAAACACTTTAGATATAATAAAACGATACTAACTAGCCCATAGATGTTTGTCTAAAATATAATTTTTCTTAATAACTAAAACTTCAATGTACCTGAGCCTTTTTGAGCTTGCTGGAAAAGAAATTCCCTCTTTTAAAAATAATTAACAATATTTGCACAAAGGGATCAGCTTCATTTGAACCCCATCTATACATGTGGCTTTCTTTCTTTACACCAGGATCTCCATAAATACATGTTATATAGATTATGTTTTAGCCTAAACAGTACTTATTTTTAAGAGGTTTGATCAACTGTATATATTGTAGAAACTTAAAGCGTGCATTAGGTTGAGTGTTATATCTGATATTGGAGATAATGTGTTCTTCGCTGCAGTGTTCATCGTTGCCAATATCAGTAGCCATATTTACATAAAACATTAAAAGTATCCCTAACGTTTGAATGATGTTGTCTTGTGAAGTTTACGAATCCAATATAAACGACGAATGTCAATTTTCTACTGCATAACACGGCGACCATTATCGTTTCTCAATTTATTCTTGACCCTTTTAAGACTTTTTAAAATTAGCTTTCTTCATGTATGCGACAAAGTAAAAGTCGAAGCAAAACCGTCCCTTCTATATCACATTGGGTTTATGACAATATATTTACATCTCGGTTGTGCATTCTCCATTTGGCCTTGCCAATAAAATTGATATTTTACACTTCGGAAAAGACAGGCGCGAAGGAAGCGCTGTGCATTTGTGGTAAGAATTAGTTGGAATCCGCTGTTTTTATTTTTTGCATTTTGTAAATTTATTAAATTTATCGAAAACCACAAAACTATGTGTGAAAGGAAATGTAAATATTGAACATATTTTACAAAAAGGTGAAAAAAGTGTGGACTTCTTTTCTGTTCATTTCCTGTAGTTGACAACTTTTCCCACCTAACTGGAATCGGCTGTTTTGCTGTTCCACCAGTTGTCGAGATGTTCCGTCAGTGCGGATAACGTCCAATGGGAACGATTATATTTTTTTAAGAAGCGGAGATGAAAAAAAACTGTCAACATATTTAAAAAAAAAAATATTCTTTTATACTTTAATCTTTTTGCATTTCTACTTGTTGTTGAACTGTATCTAAGATATTTCAACATAACGCGTCATTTAAAATATCTCTGACATGGGTTGTACACAACAGTAAACAACAAAGACGAAAACTACTTTTAAAAACAACCGATCTGATCTGGTGTGCGGACCCATAGTATATAAGGCTGGAACGTTAACTTAATTAGTAGTGATATATGCACGTGCTCAGTCAGGCTTCTACACACACGATTGGAGTTGTCCTTGTGCCTCTCTCAACATGTTTCTATACAATTATGTGAGGCGCTGTCTGCGTTTTTGTTAATACCGTTAGAAAACTCCTACAACAGAGAAAACATCAGTAATTCACATACTGGAGATTAAAAATAGACTTGGTAGATTATGATATACACAGTTATGTATAAAAAGAGACTTTTAACGTCACACTAAACATTGAAACAGAAATTCGACAAGTCACCCCCAGCCAGGAACAATCACAGGAACAATCAGCAGGCTGTAATGAACACTAGGCCTATCTAATAACGACGGAATCCTTAACTGTCATCCTGACAAATGCTCGATTTTGATTGCGACAATTGTCTCGTCAGACAAATCATTCGTTTTTCTTGTCTGTAAAACTCAATATTTGTACAAGCCTGACACTGATTGATAGATATATACACAAATGATCTCGGAGTGGTTCTTGATTTCTGCGATTATCATCACATCAAAAAACTCTGATCCCTAAAACTGAAACACCGTTACACAGCCTCGTCGATCATATCTAAATGAGAATGTCTTGTCTTACTGCATCATCCCCACTCCATCCCTGTCCAATAGGATGGTAGGGCACACTTTAATCAGTACGAATGGAAACGCTTGTCTTCCGAACGAAGATTTAAAACAGTATAATGATATTGATTGTAGTGGTTCCAAAATTATCGTAAATTGGATTGAGTTATAATTATAATTTTTATTATTGCAGTCATATAAAACAGAAGAGTTTCTCCTCAATGGATAAGTCCACCAAATGGGCAAGCGCAGTCAGAATCATCACAAGTGGCCAATATGAAAGCCACAAAAATAACAATGGCATACAAACAAATCGCAACTGAAACCAGAGACTTACAAAGCGGGTCTGACATATAAACAAAGAACTATTTACATGTATACTAACAAACATCAAACACTTCAAAACTAACAAAGAAAGTACCAACAAGAGGACAAGGTAAACAGCAATGTTACCAACAGGTGTAATAATTTACGTCAAACACTTCAAAATTCATAACGCACGAGGAGACTATTGAAAAATGCAACGTTCACAAAATGAGAATTTCCTTTCATGGCAGAAAAGTCTAACTATAGTCAAATACAAAAATGATAAAACATACACTGTACTTGGTTAAATGCACAATTCTGAAATTTTAGATCTTTAGACTTGAAATCGCCAACGAGTGATGTTGTGATTACGTGTGACAAACCAAAGGATATAATATTTGTAAATGTTACACGTGACAAACCAAAGGATCGGATATTGGTAAATGTTACACGTGACAAACCATAAAGGATCGGGTATTGGTAAATGTTACACGTGACAAACCAAAGGATCGGATATTGGTAAGTGTTACATGTGACAAACCAAAGGATCGGATATTGGTAAATGTTACACGTGACATACCGAAGAATCAGGTATTGGAAAATGTTACACGTGACAAACTAAATAATCGTGTATTGATAACTGTTACACGTGACAAACCAAAGGATCAGATATTGGTAAGCGTTACACATGACAAACCAAAAGATCGGATATTGATAAATGTTACACATGACAAACCAAAGGATCTAATATTGGTAAATGCCACACGTGACAAACCACAGGATCGGGTTTTTTTTCGTACAAGACTAATAGTTTATAGCAAGAAATAGAAAATATTTCACGATAGCCCATATTATCCAATTTCGCGTCGGCTACGAAATAATTCCGATAGCAGTTGTTTTCCGTCTTCGTTTTCTCCTATCATACCTGTTCCATGTTAAAAAACTGACTCTGAACTTTTTTCATGTGAAAAGGTTTTAAGTAAATTGACTTCAGGAAGATAGATATGACGGCTAACCATTATTCTGATCGAAATGTCTCACAAAACCAATAGAAGGACATAAAATGGATGC